AAGAGGAAGAGGAAGAAACTAGAGGTCTATGTCTGTTTGCAACAGAACATAGGGCTTTTCCGCATTATGTTTTTTTTAAAATTAAGGTCATGTTTTTCTGTTTTGTGCAAAACTGTGTGCATTTACGTTTTGTTTAACAAACCTCATTCAAATGGAAATTTGATTTTGGCATATTGCATTTGTCATATATAAAATATATATATAATCACAAGATGACGTCATTATGACGTCACCTCAATATTTATTGGTAACACATCCCGGCATGCCCCCATACCAAGTTTTAACCCAATCTAAATTACTGTTGATGAGATAGGGGCTTAAAATATACAAACGATGACGTCACATGTCTAATGATGACGTCATTGTAACAATACTTGGCAGTGCTCATTATTTTATTGCGGTTTTAGTCTGTACCAAGTTTGAAAACAATCGGATTAATGAAAGTGTTAAATTTTGTAAGCAGAATAAAATTGGCAATATTAAAAAAATCGTAAAAAAATCTACTGATGACGTCATCGTGACGTATTTCAGATGTTGTGTACTAGTGTTATTATCTACCCACCCACCAAGTTTCATGACGATCGGACATTATCTTATATGTGTTTCAAAAAAGCGCATATTTGATGACATCATCATGACGTCACACATTTTTCAAAATTTTGTACATATACCTATTGCCTTACAAACCTAATACAAAAAGAATTTTAAATTTAACATATTGGGTTCGTGATATATGGTTTAAAGGTCCAAAACTTCAAAAATCTATATAAAATCACACGATGACGTCATGATGACATCACCTCAATATTTATTTGTAACACATCCCGGCCTACCCCCATACCAAGTTTCAACCCAACCTGACGTACTGTTCATGAGATATAGGGGCTTAAAGTATACAAGTTAACGATGACGTCACATGTCTAATGATGACGTCATCGTAACAATACTTGGCAGTGCTCATTATTTTATGGTGGTTTTAGTCCGTACCAAGTTTGAAAAAAATCGGATTGATAAAAGTGTTAAATTTTCTAAGCAGAATAAAATTGGCAATATTAAAAAAATCTTTAAAAATCGACCGATGACGTCATCGTGACGTCATTCAAGATTGTGTGTACTAGTGTTATTATCTACCCACCCACCAAGTTTCAAGACGATCGGACATTCCCTTATATGTTTTTCAAAAAATCGCATTTTTGCTGACGTCATTATGACATCACACATTTTTCCAAATTTTGTGCATTTATCTATTGCCCAGCGAACCTAATACAAAAAGAATTTTGAATTTATCATATTGCGTTAGTGAGATATGGCTTAAAGGTCCAAATCTTCAAAAATCTATATAAAATCACACGATGACGTCATGATGACGTCACCTCAATTTTCGTCTATAACACAGCCCGATCTACCTACATACCGAGTTTCAACTCAATCGGACTAACAGTTCTGTAGATATAGGACTTTGTAATATGCACATGAATGATGACGTCACATGACCCATGATGACGTCATCATGACGTCTATCTTCGCGAACGACCTTTGCTATATGTTCTGTGACTATGTTAAGTTTTGATGTCATATGACTTTGTTTTATGCCAAAAGTGTTTGCTAGAAAAAACGTGCACAAAGTCTATGGCATTTTGGTTGGAAGTCCCAAGAGGAAAAAAAAAAACTAGAGGTGTTTGTGTACAAACACAGCTGTTTCGGCTGTTTGGAGAGACGTCGACTTGTGACGACATCGTCATGATGTCACTATTAAATTCACGTATGACACTATAACAAGAAGTTACAACTCAATCAGTTATTTAGCTGAAACGAAACAACCGATATGATGAGACGATGACAGAAAGTGTTAGGTATGACACGTGACGATTTAAGGTACTTTTCGAAAGAAAAATGGGACAAATATTTCAAAAATTGAGAGAAATTGACAACATTAATTGTTTTGACCGCTGCACATTTTGAAAGGCCCTTTTGGTTTCATGCTTGACGACCTATGCACATAACACAATTACAAGCGAATCGGACCTTAGTTACAACCAAATTGAGTTACAACGTATAGTTCTTTAGATATTCATATAGACCACAGAAACAATGTCCCTTTAGTTAACATGACATGAAACTACATAACATGCAATGACGCCACGATAATATCACACTATTTTTCATCACATCCCTGTAAACGTACATATATTTACATGTACATGTATTAAGTTACAACCCAATCCGACAAAAATTGGTTTAATATGACATCACATAACTTGTGATGACGGTATGATGACGGCAATTAACTTTTATCTGTAGCACATTCCAATATAAGTTCATAGAAAGTTACAGCTAAATATGACCTATAGTTCTGTAGTTATAAGCTTTTAGAAACATGCCCGTTTCATGTGTTGTAACATGACTTGTGATGACGTCATCATGACTACAATTTTCTTCTGCATGTATAACAAATCCCAATATAGGTTACTACCAAGTTTCAACCACATCGGACCAACAGATGTGTAGTTATAGGCCTCAGAAAAATAATGGCGGTTAAATACACCGAATCTGAGTTTCCCTCCAACGCTTTTAGTTTGTAGGACTACGTACTTAACAACCAACTTACAAAATACATCAATTCTGAGTATCCGTGTATACAACAAGTGTATAGGTATATATCGTCGTCGTCGTCCACAAAAACAATCAAATCTGTGTTTCTGTCTTAACCGGTGTTGTATGTGAACCAAGCAGCTAACAAAACATATGAAATCTCTGTTTCCCTCAAACGCTTTAGTTTGCGCGTACTTGCCAACTTACAAAAGACATCAATTCTGAGTATCCCTGTATGCAATAAGTGTATGGGTAAATATCGTCGTCGTCGTTCACAACAACAATCAAATCCGTGTTTCTGTCTTAAGCAGTGTTGTATGTGAACCAACCAGCTAACACAAAAAGCATAGGTGTATGCAAAATTAGAAATTCTGTAAATTTGTTTAGTTCTGATAAATCATGATTATTCCAACTCACATACCGAACTACAAGTTTGTGTCACATTTACGTAAGCCGCATAAATTTGTGGCATCATGACGGTACCGCGTAGAGTACGTGGGGACCTGGGCCCAATTTGATGGCGCTGCTAAGCACACGATTTTCTGTTAACGGAGTCTATTTCACGGAGGGCGCAATTAGCAGTAAGCACTGCGAAGAGCTTGCTAACTTCACAAGCAAAATTTGGTTGAAGTCGTGACGCAACAATAGTTTGACCGGCGTTTGTGGCGGGTGCGCGGGCTTCTCATTTTTCGGAGGCCGGGGGACATGTATGTTGTGGACAATGCAGGTTTTGTGGTGTAAACTTACAAAATAATGATTTCATACGTACGAATACGTAATAAAGTATAATACATGTACTGTGTACATGTATTACGATTTTCAATGAGGATACTCGACATCTTTACCTCAGCATCAAAATGCGCGTTCAGACTTTACATTCAGATTTTTCAAAAGCGTGGATCTTTTAACTGCATTTTGCAAGATTGATGTTTCAGAAACCTGCGAGCAGGCCTTGTTTATCACAGATATTATCTGTTCCTAAAACTCGCGTGGCTACTGCGGGGACCGGGCGCAATTCCAGTTGTGCACCACGTCTCGGGAATTCGTTAATTACCAGACGAGTTAAGGGAAACAACTGCAGTTAACTGATGTGTCATCATTCAAATGCCATAAGACTCATCTTTTCAATGTTTTGAACCACAGTGATTTTGTAGAGACCAGCGCCTTTGAATGGTCCTGCAGATACCATGCGCCTTATATATTTTGTTATTATTATTATTGATACGGACGATTATACTGATGCGTCAACATTTGTGAAGGTACATAATTAGCGCCATATCCTATATCCCCTATATACTTTAATTAAGATTAGTTTAACATCCAAAAGAAGTTGCGACTTTTCATTTTGCTATATATTTATGACGTCATAATGTCGACGCTCAATGTTTTTTATTGTTTTTTTTTAGCCACTCTCTAAAAATAAAAAGAATGGCATGGATCAGCAAAAGTACAAAAACTGTGGTCCATGGACCGGACCTGCTGCCCCAGTTGAATGTTCGTCTATAAGACATAATATCATAGCTAAATACGTTACAACCACATCTGACATAATAGTTCTGTACTAAGAGCTAGTTAGGCCTTAGAAATATCCCTTTTAATGTTACGTCCTATACGATTGTGTGATGCGTCTTTGAATTGGAAAACAGATTTTTAAAATGGAAGAGCCTTGTGTTGGTAAATTAATTGTAAGAAGTGTGGCGATTAGACGTTACTTAAAAAGATATGCGGTGATCAATGTGTTATTCGGGTGTTGTTGCAATTGTAAGAGGTATACGATGGTGGTGACATTCTGATAGGGTGTCACTAAAGAACGCAGGATGACGTTTGCAAGGACGTCAACATTAATGTGTTATATTTTTTATGCAAAATCGGTGCATGATCTAAAACTCATTTTAAAAGATGTACAAAGATGTTGAATCATTGTCTATTCACTATGAAGTAATGCATATGAAGTTTCTTTTGGAAACGGCTTTTTGTTTAATTGTTTTTTAATTAATCATAAAACCCGTGAATGTGGGTACATTGAGGTTATGTTTTGAGTTCTAAAAAGGTGGTATTATGATATAAAGATTATTTGTGTGGATGGTAAACAAGTATTTGGGTTTGGAATTGAGAAATACAATCCGTATTGAAGGAATAAAATGACTCGGCGGTGCCCGCGGCGCGGCTTCGGCGGAAGTGTCATCGCGTTATAGGCCCCGCTAGACGCGCGCAAAGTATAGGCTTTGGGAAAGTTGACTTTCTTGTCGCGAAAGAAAGGGCGCCCTCTTTTTGAGGTAGAAGGTGCATTGACCTCCAGCTGTGAAAATGACGCGTTGGATGTAATGCATGGGCATGGTAACGTCCGGTAGCCTGGCTACAGAAAGTGTTGGGCCATGCTAAGCTGTACACGGTGTACCAGACTATTGTGGAGACGGTGAGATACGGCGTGGTACTATTGTTGGTTTAGTTTAGGGGATTTTTTCGGTGTTTTTATGGGATTATTTACATTTCTTTGTATGTGTGTGTTACAATAATTGGGGAACAATAGGTGTGGTTGTATTATATCGATATATCGGGTGTGAAATGGCGCATATTACCGTGAAGTGCTTCATGTCTGTGCGTAGCCCCATCATGCCCATAAATGTGGCCTATTTACCGGTCATACTAAACAGCGTCAACACAGCGTCAACACACTCCAAAGCGTCAACACAGCGTCAACACAGCGTCAACACATCCAAAATGCACTAAAATTGACAAAAGTAGTATGTAACCCATACAGTATGGGCAGAAACAAGATTTTGGCTTAAAATTAATAGGTTAAACGTCTGAAAATTGCGATTTTCAGTTCAAGAAAATTGGCTCTCCGTGCCGCTCCGAAATCGGCTGCCATGTTGCCTCAGTGGCAGTGCGGACCATACCATTATGCTAAAGGGTGATAGCGTTGTACAATAAACCAAAAGAGAGGGCGCGGCCGGCCAATACCAAAAGATGTCCATTTCAATAAAGTAAATGAAACATAAACACAACTCACAAAATAATGATCAAATCCGATCCTCAGTCCTCAAAGATCTGGTATCCCTCTGTTGTTTATGACAAGATAATGTCATTACCTACACACCCCTACTTGAAATGGTGTAGTCCAAGCTTTGTGCGAAGTCAAGATGGCGGACAACGGCCGTGCGAGTGAAAGGTCATTTTTTTCGCGTGAAAATACGATATTTTTAACAACGAAATGGAAACTCAATCCAATGGAAATTCTCTTTTATTGAATGTTTCACAATTATATGCCCTTTTTGTCAATTCAGAATGTGTTTTGGATGTGTTGACGGTGTGTTGACGCTTCTGTCATGTGTTGACGCTGTGTTGACGCTGTGTTGACGCTGTTTAGTGCGACCCCTATTTACTGGACTGCCATGACTGCCTTCGTAAACATAGGCCACACGTACATCCACATGTACAAAAATGTGTCGCACTTTGCCAAATTTTGATTTCACATTTAGACTTAGTTTGTAGGGTTTTTTTGCTTTAGAAGCAAACTCACCCTCTGAATAGGCTAATCAGGAAGTGCTGCCTTTTTTCAGATGGCTAATTTTTGCTAAATTTCATGTTGATACGTAGCTGGAGTTACCCAGCCCTGAGTTTTATCATTGGGTTGTCTATTAGGGCTGGAGCGTATTTTTCTCGTAATTAGTAGTATATTCAAACAATTTTGGAAAATGTTCAATTTTGTCGCCGTTACACACTAATTGCAACTGCAACTCACCCCAAACTTGCCTGGAATAACCATTACACAGGTCCTTGAAGTAAAAAACGATCCACGATGAAGATTCAGCCCACAATTGCAGTGAAAACAGGAGGAATAACCGCTAACTTGACAACCTTGCTGGATTGGCCAGGACTGCTATTGGTTTGTGCACTAAAAAAAAATTGTGTACAATGAATGGCGGCGGTCGATTACCATCCACGTACAGCTCGCTGGTACTACGCGTTTTTGCGGTCGGTCCATGACGTGACGCGGAAGCGTAATACCCGATGACTATTTCATGCATTAACACTGCACTATGAATGCACGATAGCCGGCCAACTCGACGGTTGCCGTTCCAGTACCGCACTGTGATGCGAGTGAACCTCTTCTTAATGCATGAAACAGTCATCGGGTATTACGCTTCCGCGTCACGTCATGCACCGACCGCAAAAACGCGTAGTACCATTGAGCTGTACGTGGATGGTAATCGACCCCCCCCATTCATTGTACACAATTTTTTTTTAGTGCACAAACCAAAAGCAGTCCTGGCCAATCCAGCAAGGTTGTCAAGTTAGCGGTCATTCCTCCTGTTTTCACTGCAATTGTAGGCTGAATCTTCATCGTGGATCGTTTTTTACTTCAAGGACCTGTGTAATGGTTATTCCAGGCAAGTTTGGGGTGAGTTGCAGTTGCAATTAGTGTGTAACGGGGACAAAATTGAACATTTTCCAAAATTTTTGAATTTACTACTAGTTACGAGAAAAATACGCTCCAGCCCTAGAGACAACCCAATGATAAAACTCAGGGCTGGGTAACTCCAGCTAGTTGATACGCAAACGTGTGCAAATGGATCTGGAAATTTCACGAAAAATAGACATCTGGAAAAGGCAGCACTTTCTGATAAGCCTATTCAGAGGGTGAGTATGCTTCTAAAGCAAAAAAACTTACAAACTAAGCCTAAATGTGAAAATCAAAACTTGGCAAAGTGCGACACGTTTTTGTACATGTGGATGTGTGGCCTATGTTTTCGGAGGCAGTCCAGTAAATAGGCCACATTAATGGGGATAGTCTGTACGTAATTGCTATGCCCGCTATGCCTAACTCAGTAATACTAACATTATTTTGTCGTGGGAAAAATGATGCATGTACATGTAGTCTAGTTGTACAATAGTTTGATACCACCTTGGTGATCACTGAAAAATAATGAAAGGTGGGGGGGGGGGGGGTGGGCATATAGAAGTGCACATGTTATGTCATGTTATGACTGTATTTGCCAACTAATAATAGTAATGAGCCTTAATCCTAGACAATGCTAGAGTTGGGGTTTATATAAGATGTAAATATAAAATAAGGAAAGAATGTCGATTTTATTATTGAATTATTTAAATGGAATAATTCAGTCTGATGCAAAGTTATCAGGGATTTACTTAGACATGTTAGATAAGGCTCGCTGTTTGTGTGGGAATTTCCTGCATACATGTACATGTATATAGTTTGCGAATAAAATAAAATTGCACTGTTCTCTTTTTACAAACATGAATAATTCTCAAGATATGTCATGGTCACGTTGTTTTGTCAGCTGTGTGAAATTATGAGTTTAAAATTCTCACAGAGTATTAAGTGAAATCATTTTCTAATTTAATGTTAAAAACATGGTGGCATTAGTGACTTAAAGTCAGTTTTTATATCCTACAATCAAATGACAAAGATGTGTATGTCGTTATATAAAACAAATAATGAATGTTTTTCATTCGTGCAATGGAGAGAATATTTCCATTCGTTGAAAGAAAAAATGTTCCATCTTTCAACTCATGGAAATATTCTCACCATTGCACTCGTAAACATTTATTATTTGTATACTTTCCCAATTGTACTTTAGATATTGAGGAGGGGGCTTAAGTACTTGACAATTGTAAATGACCAAACTTTGTATAATGAAGGGGGGGGGGGGCATAGCCTGTCATTTTGTTAGAATTTGGCAATTTTTAAGTGTTCATTTGCTTTTCTCTGTTTGTTTTTCCTTGGGGGGGGGGGGCATTTTGGGTGATTGCCTCCCAATACGCTGTTATATTCATTCCAATGGAGAGTGGCCGTCTAGTTGGAAAATGTTATTTATAGTTGGGATATACTTAAGGACCGATGCTGTAGTCAAGAACCATTCACAATAACTATATTCATGGGAAAGAGTTCTATACACAAACAACACTTGACCCCCTGTGCACAAATCCTATGCGACTGTTCTGAAGAATTGTATTTTTTTGCTAAGTAAATGCCTTTTCACTACTATAATTTGACGGATAAGGGCATGTCATTGCTGTTCATGGCTTGTAGGCCACTATAGGGAAAAATAAGCGTTGTCCGTGTATGGAACTCTTCCGTATTTATAATATGTGTTATTTATCGTTTTTCTCTCTTTTCTCTGTTTTGCAGAAAATGGTGAAGACGCTGAAGAAGACGAGCTGTGACGTTCCTTCAACTTCCCTGAGGTTGGCACCTCCTCAGGGAAGACGCCTGCCTGTGTTTCACAGGCAGTGCGCAAACCAGCTGGTACACGCAGACTGTGTACTCGTACTCGGAGAACAAAGGTTCCAGCGTGTTCCTTGTTCTCACTGGGAGGGTACTGGGGCCAGCGTGCCCTTCAGCTGGATTAATCTTGAGAAAAGATGCACAGATAACATGAGAAAACATGAGATTAAACAGAGAGAATATGAACAGAAACTAAACAGGAAATATGACTTGAAACTGAGAGCATATGAGTATAATCACAGAGCATACGAGTTTAACCTGAGAAGCCACATCGATGATACTGAGCCTAGATGCAGTGACTATCTTGTGCAGAGAAGAAGGGTGAGTGAACTGAAGATGCGGAGAATCAACAAAATGACAAAGCAGAGAGTAAGTAATCAGAAAGCATTGAGAAGCTTGAAGGTAAGCAGACAAACATGCTGTAGCAGAAGTCAGGTATTGGAAAGTTATGTAGAGTACTGTCAAGAGGCAAAGAAGGTTTCTAAACCAAATAGAAAGAAAATGAGAAGAAGCCAACGTAGACAGGCCTACCACAGAATGAGGAATGGTAAGATGATCGAATTGCGCATGAGTAAGGAGGACAGAAGAAACCAGAAGAATGCCCAGAAGAATTTACAAAGTCACACTAGAAGAAGTTTGAGTAATGTCTTGAACAACATGCCAGATAAGGGAGACAAATGCATAGTGCAGAAACACAGCAGATATCAGTGTAAACCATGGAGATCACAAAAGAAGAGTAAATTTGCAAAGAGATCGAATGTAAATGAAATTCAAGACAAGCAGTGCTGGTTGTGCGATAGGAGTATTAAGTCATCTGAAAACAACGTGCAGTGTGATGGCTGTGACATTTGGTATCATGTCCATTGTATGAATTTCTCAAAGATGAAACAGCTGTTGAGCAACAAAGCTGTGACATGGTTGTGCAGAAAATGTGGGAGGAGTACTTATTCTGAGTCTCTGTTATGTAATCTTGGTATTCCAACAGATGATAACATGTATGAGTTGACAGTTCAGGAGACATGCACCGATGATGTGGTCAGAGAGAGGTCCGTGAATGGAATGTGCAGGAAGGACAGCAACAAAGACAATCAGAGAAAAAATGTAAGTGATGCAAACAGAAAACAAAGAACAGGTTGCATGAAATTAATGACTGAAACCAAAGAAGTGGTGGTACGTAGGCAGACAGGTGGTTACTCACTGCGGAGCAAGAAAAGCCAACCCCCAGAAGTAGATGATACAGATGAAAATCAAACTAGCATGTCCGAACCTGTTGGAAGGAGGGGTAGAAGAGGTGCAAGAAATGGAAAGGTTGAAGACAGTGTTGATAAGGGCAGTAAAAGTGGTGAACAAAGTTGTCAATCAAAGAATTTGCAAGGTGAATGCAATTGTGAAACAAGACGTGAAACAGCATATCCAGTTAGTAGGAAACGGCAGCTATCAAGTGACAATAAAAGTGGTGAAACAAAACATAAACAAAAGGAGGTACATGTACAAAATGCACATGAAGTTTTAGATAGTGAGCATGATGTCAAAGCCAAAGGTAATGTCAAAAAATGCAAAATTTTGCAACATGAAACATGTAAATCTGTGGGAGGCAAACACAATCAGGAGAGTAAAAGAAAATGTAGTAGAGGAAAGAATTACATTGGATCCCACACAATGATTGTGCAGGGAAGTTTTCATCAAGGTGATCATAGATTTGGATGGAGTTCAGGAAAACAATGTGTACCGAACAGTTTGTGCTGTGTTTTATACAGTAAAGTCAAAGAGTTGAAAGACTGGTCTTGTAGTGATATTGATACTACACTAAATACTGGAAATGAGTTATACAGACATTTATCCAGAAGTTCTACAGTGAATACTCAATACTTGTTGATAAATGAACTGCCAAATGAATTGGATTTGCTCAATCATCATTTCAGTATGAGGTTTCATGATCCTGTATGTGGTACATTAGGAGAAGAGTGTAATTTGCCAGAATTTCATATGATGCCGCTGAATCGTACATTAGAACAGAGTCTTCAACAACACTATGCAAGTTTCATATGTTTCCATGGAAATACATTTGTTGCAATTACTCAAGATGGCATGTATTATATCTTTGATTCTCACTCTAGAAACCAGCAAGGTTGCCAAGTCAGTGAAGGAACAAGTCTGTTGAAACGTGTTGCTACTTGGCAAGATGTACACAGGTATTGTAGTGATTTGGCAAAGTCTATGTGCTTGTCTGATAATGAGCAGTTTGAAGTTACAGGTGTATCTGTGTGGTTAGATGATGAGGAAAGACACGATGCTGATGCAAGTATATGTACGGAAGACAATAATGATTCAGTACTGGCAAGGAGTGATTGCAATAAAGCAAAAGTGGATGAAGGAAACTCTGGGTCTATAGTAGATGTTGTTGGTTCTGGTAGAGGTTTGTCAAGGACATGTACGGATCTACCAAATAATTTGAAGGAAGGCAACAAACATAGTTGCAGTGAAATGAGTCGCAGTACTAAAGTCGATGACAACAGTGATGTTGAAATTATGGAAGTGGTCCAGATGCAAAAGTTTAAATTTGTTCCCCTGACTTATAATAGGAAGCAGGCAGTATGTAGAGAACATAGAATAGGCCACGTATCTCTGGACTGTAATGAGGTTTCAGATACATGTGAAGAGATGGGACGACCTGATTCAGTGAAGAAAATTAAAGGAGATGGGAACTGCTTTTTCAGGGCTATATCATTTGCTGTGTCGGGATCTGAAGATAATCATTTGCAGTTAAGAATGGCTACTGTCAATCACTTGTTAAAAAATGGAGATAAATTCAATGGTTTTCTGCGACAAGGGTTTGTTAATGTGGAAGATTATATCACAAGGCAACGAATGTTTGACTCTAGAGTGTGGGCTACAGAGGTTGAAATCATGGCAATGGCACACATGCTGCATACAGACATATATACATTTGAAGATGTAAATAAGTGGTATGTTTTCTCTGCAAGCACCTTTGAGAGAGAGGCTGTAATATTAGATGAGGCAATTTACTTGTACCATAGGCGTAGAATTCACTATGATGTTGTGTTGTCAGTTCATGCATCAACTCAATCAAGAAGGCAATGTGATAATGGACAACAGAAAGTAACAAGTCATAAAGGAGCAGAATGTGTGAAAAATGGTACCTCCAGTAAGTCGGAAAAGAATTCGAAGTGTAAAAGGCGTAAGCGATCAAATACAAAATTACAACAAAGAAAGAAAAGAGAGAAAGCTAAGGAAAGGTATGCAGACAAGGTGCGTGAAAAGAATAGGATTTTAGAGCAAAAGCAAAGTAAAAAGATGAAAAACCAGAAGAACTACCAAAAGAATGCAGACAAGAAGAAGGAATTGCTAAAAATAAAGTACAGTAGTGACATGGACTTTAAAACAGAGCGATTAAAGGCTCAAAAGAGAAACTATAACAATGAAACGCATAAAAAAGTTATTCTGAAGCATAAAAAAGAGAAATATTGTCACAATCAAGAATACAAAGAAAAGAAAAGAAACAGTGGGAAAAGAAATTACCGTGATAATCCTGAATATAGAGAGAAGAAAATCAACAAAGGGAAAGCCAAGTATTGCCAGAATCCTGAGTACAGAGAGAAGCTGATCACTAAGGGGAAAACAAAGTATAGCCAGAATCCTGAGTACAGAGAGAAGTTGATCACTAAGGGGAAAACAAAGTATAGCCAGAATCCTCAGTACAGAGAGAATTTGATCGCCATGTTGAAAAGCAAATATTGTGATGATGCTGAATACAGAATCAAGGTAATCAATGAGGGAAAAACAAAGTATTACAATAATCCTGAATACAGAGAAAATAAAATCAATAAGGGGAAAAGAAAGTACCGTGATGATGCAGGATATAGAGATAAGCTAATAAATTATGAAAAAAGCAAGTGTAAAGCAAAGTACCATAAAGATCTTGCTTATAGACAGAAGAAAATAAATAGAGCTAAATGTAAATATCATGGCAATGTTTCATATAGAAGAAAGCTCATTGCAAGTATCAAAAAGAAATACCGATGTGTGACATCTTACAGGGCAAAGTTAATAAAGTATGGAAAAAGGAAGTATGAAATAAATAGTGAATATCGTAAAAGTATGGCAGAGATGAATTACAAACGTGCTGCGATTAACAAAGAGAAAAGACGTAAAATTTGTTTTGTTACAAAGACATTCAAAGAAAGCATAGCTAAAGGACCTGAGTATGTGTGTGCTTGCTGTCATAAACTGCTGTTTCAAAAGCAAGTTATACAGTGTAACCTGTACAAATACAAAGATCAGAAGTCAATTAGTGACAAATATCTTCATACTTGTAGTGATCATTGTGAATCCAAGTGTATAATTGCAGAATCAAGCAGATCATGTTTATGGATATGTTATACCTGTCACAGAAAATTACTTGTTAATAAAGTCCCTGCTGAAGCTAATGTGAATAATTTAAACCTGATGGACATCCCTGAGGAATTAGCTTGTTTGAATACGTTAGAAGAGCATCTAATTGCAATAAATGTACCGTTCATGAAAATGATTGCATTGCCTAAAGGAGGACAACATGGTGTACGAGGCCCAGTTGTGTGTGTACCATCAAATATAACAGACACAGTCAAAGCACTACCAAGGCCTGAAAGTGATGATCAGATGATCCGAGTCAAGCTGAAGAGAAAATTGACTTATAAAGGATATTATCAATATCAGTTTGTGAGTAAAGAAAATGTGGAGAATGCATTACGATATCTTCAACATAATAATAAATGGTTCAGTGACATTGAAATAAATGCTGATTGGGATAATCCATTGTGTGAAGATGATCATGAAATGGATCAGTCTGTACCTGATGTGAAAGAAGAAACCAACGATGAAAGCGGTAACAGTGATGAGGAAACTGATGATGATCGTTTACGAGGCATTGCATTAGACACTTGTCTTCAGCCAACTAATGTAGGACAGGAAATACTTGATCAGTATTTTGAGGAAGTGCTGTGTGTGGCTCCATGTGAAGGCAATAGTCCAATTAGAGTGCTAATGGAAAAGGGTAACGAAGCAAAATGCTTTCCAGTATTATTTCCATCAGGTCAACCTATTTTTGATGATGATCGTGAAATGAAATTGACACTTTGCCGATATTTCCATAACCGATTGATGAATGTTGATAATAGATTTGCAATGTGTACTCAATATATCTTTTATGCTCAGTATTTGTCAGAGATTCAGAGAGTTATGTCCAGTGTTTCAATTGCACTGCGAAAAGGATCTGATAAAAAGTACAATGGTGACAGTGTGAATGCCTCCATGATCAATGACAGGGACCAATTACAAGATATGTTGAAGTCAGATAGTGGATACAAATTTCTCAAGCCCATTCGTGGTACACCCCCATACTGGCAAGCAGCACAGAAGGATGTTTTGGCTATGATCAGACAGTTAGGAATACCAACATGGTTTTGTTCATTTTCTGCAGCTGATATGCGGTGGCCTGAGGTAATCAATACAATTTTAAGACAGCAAGGTGATTCTAGAAATGTAGAAGGTTTGGACTGGAATGAGAAATGTACCATATTGCGAAGTAATCCTGTTACTGCTGCGAGAATGTTTGATCAGCGATTTCATACGTTTCTGAGAGATGTTATATTGTCCAGAGCTGAACCAATAGGAAAAGTCATAGACTATTTTTACAGAGTAGAATTTCAACAAAGAGGGTCGCCACATACACATTGTCTTTTCTGGATTGAAAATGCACCCAAGTTGGGAGATGACAGTGAAAGAGAGGTTGTACAGTTTGTTGACAAATATATAAGTTGTAAATTACCATCAAAGGACAAGGATGAAGAATTACATGAAATTATTAGTCATGTACAGTTGCACAGCAGAAAGCATTCCAAGTCATGTAAAAAGAAGGGTACTGAGTGTAGGTTTAATTTCCCAAGACCTCCATCTGAACGAACATTCATTACAGAGCCCATGCCAACAGATGATGAGGATCAAACTAATGGTGAAAGCAGTGAAAGAAATAAGGCTAAGGAATTACTGCAATCAATATGGACTGCAATACAAAAAAGTGAGAACGAACACATGACAACCAA